GCCTGAAACATTTCCTTCGAGAGCCATGTCAAACGGTGCTTAAGAGCTGCTCCTGGCTCGGTGCTCAGAGCTTGCTGGGGATTGAGTCTGGGCTTCCTGCACGTGAAACTTGTGTTGTCGAGCATTAAACTGTCTCCCTGTCCCCTGGAAACTTCCTTCTCCCTTTTTATGGGCCACAATTCCTTGTGGTGCTCAAGACTTACTCCTGGAGGGACTCGGGGGACCATATATGGTGCCGGGGATCGAACCTGGGTCAGCCTTGTGCAAGGCAAGCGTCCTGCCCGCTGCACTATCACTCTTGCCCCCAAACTTATTTTTTCCTTTTGGAGAGAAGGGTGCGTAGCAGGGAGGCACCCAGGAAATGGGAGCCCTGAGCTGCCGCTTCCTCTTCCTGAAGATGGGGCTGGTGTTTCTCCTCCAAGGAGCCTCTTACCACCCATGGTTCTGTGTCTGTGACACTGGCTTTGACAGGTGGCAGTTCCCGCTAGAGCTGGAGTGGGAGGGCTGCAGGAGCGGTCAGAGAACAAGACTTTGGGGTGCTGAAGGAGGTTTAGCTTGGGGGTGCCTGGCTTCTTTTGTGATCAAGCGCTCCTTCCGTCTTACCCCAGGTGTGTCAGCAACGCAAGGCGGGTGGTTGTTTCTCTGCAAAGGCACGTTCTGAATGAGCCTTTGGTGCCCAACGGACGCTGCCCCCCAGAGTCCTTTGCTCACACACATAGGTCGTCTCTCCTCTCTATCCCTCATAGCTTCATTATGATTGATGGACTGTAGCACTGTAGCACTGTCCTTCCGTTGTTCATCGATTTGCTCGAGTGGGCACCAGTAACATCTCCATTGTGAGACTTGTCGTTACTGTATTTGGCATATCGAATACGTCACGGGGAGCTTGCCAGGCTTTGCTGTGCAGGTGCGATATTCTCGGTAGCTTGCTGGGCTCTCCGAGAGGGGCGGAGGAATCAAACCCAGGTTGGCTGGCTATGCTATCGCTCCAGCCCAATTGATGGACATTCTTTTTTTTTTTTTAGTGAATCACCTTGAGACACAGTTACAGACTTACAAACCTTCATGATTACGTTTCAGTCATACAGTGATCGAGTACCCATCCCTCCACCAGTGCCCATTCTCCACCACCAAAGTTTCCCTCCTGCCATCCCCACCCCACCTTCCCCTCCCACCCCGCCTCTGTGTCAGGCACATTCCCTTTTACTCTCTGTCTCTCCTTTTGGGTGTGATGGTTTGCAATATCGGTACTAAGTGGCCATCATATCTGGCCCATAGTCTACTTCCAGCACGCATCTCCCATCCCGAGCGATCCCTCTAGATATCATTTACTTAGTGGTCCCTTCTCTGTCCCAGCTGCCATTTCCCCCAGCATGTGAGGTCCGCTTCCAAGCCGTGGAGCGATCCTCCTGGCCCTTATTTCTACTATCCTTGGGTGCTGATCTCATATTATGTTACTTTATATTCCACAAATGAGTGCAATCCTTCTATGTCTATCCCTCTCTCTCTCTGACTCTTCTTTTAAAACTTTTTATTAGTGAGACATCATGAGGTACAGTTGTAGACTTACAAATTTTTGTGCTTGGGTTTCAATTATACAATGATCAAACACCCATCCCTCCACCAGTGCCCATTTCCTACCACCACGGGTCCCAGTATCCATCCCACCCCCCATCCCCCTCATCCCACCCTGCCTCTGTGGCAGGGCATTCCCCTTTGTTCTCTCTCTCCTCTTGGGTGTTGTGGTTTGCAAGAGAGGCATTGAGTGGCAATCATGTTTGGTCTATAGTCTACTTTCAGCATGCTTCTCCCATCCTGGGAGGATCCTCCCAACACCTTTATTTGGTGCTCCCCTCTCTATCTGAGCTGCCTTTTCCCCTAGCATGTGTGGCTGGCCTCCAAGCCATGGAGTAAAATTCCTGGTACTAATCTCTGCCATTCTTGGGTGTTAGTCTCCCATTTTGTTACTTTATGTTCCCCAGATGAATGCAGTCTTTCTGTGTCTATCTCTTTCTTTCTAAGTCATTTCTCTGACTCATTTCACTTAGCAAGATACTCTTCATGTCCATCCACTTATAAGCAAATTTCATGATTTCATCTTTTCTAACAACTGCGTAGTATTCCACTGTGTACCAAAGTTTCTTTAGCCAGTCATCTGTTCTCGGGCACTCGGGATATTTCCAGATTCTGGCTATTGTAAACAGTGCTGCAATGAACATACAAGTGCAGATGTCATTTCTACTGTATTTTTTGCATTTCCGGGATATATTCCCAGAAGTGGTACTGCTGGGTCAAATGGGAGCTCAATTTCTAGTTTTTTGAGAAATGTCCATACTGTTTTGATGGACATTCTTGAAGCTTCTGAGGGTCCATCCCAATCTGGGGCTTCTCCACATCTGTAAAGAAGTGCCCAGGCACCCAGCAACCCTGGACTCCACTGGGTACCACCTTGGCTAAGGCGGGAGCCCACGGTCTCACTTTTCCTCTGCAGTTTCAGTCCTGAAGAGTCTGGGCGCCTTCAAGCCTCCCTGCAGAGATAGAGTCAGGTGACACCTGGGCTGTTGGAGCCCTGAGAAGTGGAGGGCTCACTCCCCTCTGTCCCCTTCCAATCCCTGCAGCCAGGCGCTGCCTCCGACGGTCCCAGGCCAGGATGCTCCCATTTAAGCTGCGTCAGCTCCCGCTTCTCTTGCCTTTGTTCTAATTTGGATAATTAGCCCTCGGCAAGGATTTCTCCTCCATTGTCTCTAATTCATGTCATTATTATTTCTACACAATGAGGCTCAGGAGAGCTCACGGCCTGACCGGCAGAAGTGTGTACCTCGCAGACCCCACTATCTGGGGGACAGAGCATGGGGTTGAAGGCGCTTGCACATGGCTGACCTTCCTGCCAAATCTGAGCATCGCCGGGGGGAGCACTGAGCACAGAGCCAGGAGGAAGCTCTGAACACCACCAGGCATGGCGCAAAACAAAACCAGAGAAGAATCTTTGTCTGAAAGGCCCGGGCACTGGCAGACCCTCCAGGTGAGGGGCTTCAGCTCCCACTCCCCACCTTATGTGGCCTGTGACCTCCAGCTGGGCTGCCAGATGCCTCCTGAGTGCCCCCTGCCTGCCCGCCTCAGCCTGAGGTGTCAGCTCCGCCCCCCTCACCGTGCCATAAACAACAATCACAAACACTTAGGCGGGTGTGGAGGGGCCCCGAGGATGGAATTATTTTTACTATCAGATCCAAATTGGTTTACTAAAACTGTCAGCGGAAACCAAGCAAGATAAATTAAAGTCAGCAGCTCCCGGGCCTTGTGTAACCCTCGCTGGTGAGATGCTATTTTCACTTCCTCTGGGGGGGTGAAGGAGGTGCCAAGTCCAGATGCCATTTGGCCAAGTGAGTGCCAGGGTCTGCCGGGGAGCGGAGATCAAGCCTCCGGCTGGTGCCTACAGTAACGGGGCGGGGGGACTCTGGATCCTCCTGCAAAACTTTAACCCTGCGACCGGCTTAAGCCCTCCCCCTGCTGCCCCATGAGGTGCGGCCGCTCTGGCTGAGGTCCCTGCCGCCTGCGGGCCGTCCTTCCCGCTGCCACCTTGCCTGCACTGCCAGCTCCATCACGGGCCCCTCCCAACTCCTTTTGGAACGCAGCTGAGGATCCCACACTCTAAAGATGTGGCCAGCAGGGTTCGAAGTCTCATGCTGACAGCTCCCTGACATGCGGTTACTCGCCCTACTTTCCCTGCCTCAGTTTAGTCATCTGTAAAATGGAACCAGCAGAGACTGCTATGCTGGTGTCACTGGGGAGTATCCTGGCTTTTGGCTGTTTTTATTTTGGGGAGGGGAGTACCAACGGCATCACAAGTCATCAAGGTTGTGGGCAAACAAGACAAGAATAATGGGGGGTGGGTACTGGAGAGACAGGATAGGGGTTAAGGTGCAGGCCTGCCCTATGGCCCACCCCAGTTTGACCCTGGACACCCAGAGTCCTCTGAGCACTGTTGGGTGCAGTCCTGGGTCTCTGAGCACCATGGAGTGGTCTGGGTCATCCCTGGTACCAGATGGTCCTGATTCTCATTTCTGGGCCTTAGCACCTGCTGTTCCTTCAGGCTGGACACAGTTCCCTGCCCTCTCTGCCCAGCTTCTGTCCGTTCTCCCAGTCTCCCCCAGCCCCAGGCTCTCCTCTTGGGGAGGGGCCACCATGGACATTACAGGCTGCCCCCTGGATGTGAGGCCACCAAATGCGAGAGCCAGAAACACCTCCGACGGCGCCCGCATGCCCTGCAGGAACTCCTCCTGCGGGAGTCAGGTGTGGAGGGCACGTCCTGGGGGAGTGCAGCCCCGTGGCTCTCTGCTTCCTGCCAGGCTGTTTGCCTGTGGCAGGATTCCCGGGCAGGGTCCTGGGTGCTGCCTGTGTGTTGCTCCCGCAGGAAGCCAGCCAGAGGGACCCCCTGGCTCCGTAAGCATCGAAGCACCCCTCCCAGCTCACGGATAAAACCCTTTTATGTTTTGTTTTGTTTGCAGGGGTGCTGGGGGGCCTCTGCTCTGGGCTCCATGCTCAGGGGTCCATGCGGTGCAGAGGATGAGCTGGGGGGGGGGCAAGGTGAGCACCTCAAGCCCTGGGTTATGTCTTTGATCCTCACTGTTCGCAATAATCCTGAGGTGACTGCATGGAGGCGGAATCGATTTGCAAGACCCTTTGTGCCAGTGGCTCCAGGGTGATGCTGGTCTCCTGCTCCATGGGGGGTGTTGGAACCAGTAGGGGGCTGGAGGGAACAACCGTAATTCCAGCTTATCCCACACAAGCAGACACCTATCGACTTCACTGTGGCTTAGATCAGGTGCCTGGATCAGCAGGAAGAGCAATCAGCCCCCACCCCAGGGGGGGCATTCTTGGCACAGCCCCTAACACACAGTGGGAACTTAATGAGGAAAGGCTGAAAGAACATCACAGGAATCATGCCCCCTTCCCTTCCTTTCCCCATCCGGCAGGATGGGGTTCCCGCCAAGAATACTCACAACTGGATGTCCAAGAAGATCCGTTTCTCCACCCCCACGTGGATCTTCCAGACACAATCTTCACCTTCCACATAAGGCTCAGGCCAGTTTGGGGACAGCACCACCCCGGCCACTGCAGTAAGCTCCCCTCCGCACATGGCTGAAGGGACAAAAACAGAGGGGGGGGGGCTTTCAGCGATCAGGAGAGACTGTCCTGGCTAGAGGCTTTGTGGACAGGTGCTGTCACCTCTAGGGGTCAGCGCGTGTGTGAGGCTGGCCATCTGCCTCTGTGAGCTGAGGCTTGAGCCAGGGGCCGAGGACTCTCTGCAAACACGAACAGGATGGTGGTGGGTTTTTTAAATTTTAAAAAATTTTTTACTAGTGGAACACCATGAGGCACAGTTGTAGACTTACAAATTTTTGTGCTTGGGTTTCAGTTATACAATGATCAAGTACTCATCCCTCCACCAGTGTTCATTCTCCACCACCATGGGTCCCAGCATCCCTCCCACCCCCCATCCCTCCCATCCCACTCTGCCTCTGTGGCAGGGCATTCCCTTTTGTTCTCTCTCTCTCTCTCTCTCTCTCTCTCTCTCTCTCTCTCTCTCCTTTTGGGTCCTGTGTTTTGCAAGAGAGGCATTGAGTGGCAATCCTGTTTGGTCTATAGTCTACTTTCAGCATGCTTCTCTCACCCTGGGAGGATCCTCCCAACACCCTTTATTTGGTGCTCCTTTCTCTATCTGAGCTCCCTTTTCCCCTAGCACGTGTGGCTGGTCTCCAAGCCATGGAGCAAAATTCCTGGTACTAATCTCGGCCACTCCTGGGTGTTAGTCTTCCATTTTGTTACTTTATGTTCCCCAGATGAATGCAATCTTTCTGTGTCTATCCCATTCTTTCTGACTCATTTCGCTTAACATGATACTTTCCATGTAGTACCACTTGTACGTAAGTTTCATGACTTCATCTTTTCTAACAGCTACATAGTACTCCATTGTGTAAATGTACCAGAGTTTCTTTAACCAGTCATCTGTTCTTGGGCACTCAGGTTTTTTGATGGTGGTGTACTTTGAGGCAGGAGTCATTAGACAATTCTGCTGTTTTGGAAGTGACATAAGGACGTGAGGTCAGACTCGATGGCCAACTCCTGGTCTCTAGGGTGTAGCCACTGGGGCCACCAGGCTCCATGTTACTCATCAAGAAATGAAAAGTGAAGTGACTTGAAGGGTGTGTGTGTGTGTGTGTGTGTGTGTGTGTGTGTGTGTGTGTTTGGGGGGAGGTGTTGACCAGTCTCTTTCAGCACCACGGACAGAGACTAGGGTGCGATCAAGTCTCCAAAGTCTCCTGTCGGGCTGACAGCACATTCAAGACAGGTGAATGGGCGTCGACTGTCTTTGCCACAACAAGCTCTGTGACAAGGTTAGATCTTTGGAGACGCCTCCACTTCCTTCCACGACAAAGCCAGGCAGCCCTGCCACAGACCTGGGCTTATTCAGAAGCTCAAGACTTCCAGCCTGACACTGAACTTGGCATGGTTGTGTACCTGATGTTTCTCAGTTCAGGGGGTAGTCAAAGACCACCCGCCCTGTCCCACCCCACAGCCCCAGAGAGGAAGTGAGGAGGAAGCTGCGCCTGGCCCTTTAAATTCCACTCTGTGTTTATTGCTTTGGAAAGTTCTCAAAGTGGCAGAGGCCAAAGCACCAATAAATTCCGCTCTGTTAAACCAGCACATTTAATATAGGGATCAATCTCTCACCACGGCAGGGCTGGGGTTTCAAGCCAACTACCATGGCCATGGCAGGAGAGAGGGAGCTCTTCCTGACTCTCCCGGCTCCCCGTGGGTCCTGGCTTGGGGTGACTTTGATAACGGGGTGCTGGGGAGTGTGGGCCTCTGGAAGCCCAAGTAGGGGAGGGTCTTACCCAGCTGACACAGCCCAGAGGCTCTCAGAGCACGTGTCTCCGGGAACAGAGACGTGGGCTCCACCGCGGCCTCTGCCAATGACCTCCCACCTATTCTCAGGGCCGTCATCCCACGGTTCCATTTCCTGCTCTGTAACTGGGGTGAGTGACGATAGGGAGCTCACGGGGAGGTGGTAAAGGTTAAATCAGATGATGCTCACGCAGAAAGCTGGCAACACGACTTCGGTGCTCCTACTCACCCCCACAATTGCCATTAACACCACACTCATTCATTAGAATCAGGGCTGGCCTCTGGGTAGGAGGGTGATGGGAGTGGGGGGTTACCCTGGCACGCAGAGCAGAGGGGAATTGTAGGAGCTCAAACCCTGGCAGCAATCTGCCCCCACCCCTGATGTCCCAAGCTGTGCACTAGGATATGAGGGCCTGAGGGAAGGAAACCCATTTAATTTTATTATTTTTATTTTTTACTTTTTGCTTTGTGGGTCACACCCAGTGATGCACAGGGGTTCCTCCCGGCTCTAAACTCAGTAATTACTCCTGGCGGTGCTCGGGGAACCATATGGGATGCTGCGGATTGAACCTGGGTCGGCTGCATGCAAGGCAAATGCCCTACCCGCTGTGCTATCACTCCAGCCCCAGGAAACCCGTTTTAAAACGAATCAATCTGGGGGCCAAAAAGACAGCACAAGGGTTAATGGGCTAACCCTTGTTCAATCTCTGGCACTGTAGATGGTTTCCTTCATCTTCCTTCCCTACCAGGAGTGATTCCTGAGCACAGAGTCAGGAGTAAACCCTGGGCACTGCTAGGAGTGGCCCCCAAACAACACAACAACAACAATAGCCACAAATAGAATTATTGAATTATTTCAATAGACTGCATCAGGTCTGCATGCAAGAGGTCCAGGCTCAACCGTCAGCACTGCATGGTCCCCTGAGCACTGCTGGAAGTGGGACCAGAGTGCTGGGCTGGGAGCAGCTTCGAGGAGTGGCCCCCAGACCAAATAAGCATGTGAACAAGGAGTGTTGATTTTGCGACTTCTCTCAGGACTGGAAGCACTCCAAAGGAGTGTGATCCAAAGGACAGTGAGACATTCCAGTCCCAGACCCGGCCCAGAAATAGGGGATATGCCTGTTTTGCTGGGGGGCCTTGGTCCTTCCCACCCCTCCCGCAGGGCCCTAGGCCCCTCACCTCTGCAGAGAGGCTCCGTGTCATTCCAGTAGGGGTCCCGCATGTTGATACACTCGATGATGGCCGGGCCCTGCTCCAGAGAGTGGCCGGGATCACAGGTGAACTGCACCACCGTGCCGATGTTGTACGTGGGATCCGAGGTGGTGAAGTTACCATTCTGGATGTAGGGCTCATAGCAGTGGCCCTTCTCAAAGGCTAGGGAGTGGAGATAAGAGAGGGGCAGTGCCCATGTGAGTCAGGGAAAGGGCCCTGCATCTGAGCCCCAGCCACCAGCGTGAAAGTTGGGGACCGTCACCCTTGGTTTCTGGAGTTCTCTCTCTCTCTGTCTCTCTCTGTCTCTCTGTCTCTCTCTGTCTCTGTCTCTCTCTCTCTCTCTCTCTCTCTCTCTCTCCCCCCTCTCTTTTGCTTAGGGGGCCACACCTGGAAATGCTCAGGGGTTACTCCTGGCTCTGCACTCAGGAATCACCCCTGGCAGTGCTCAGGGGACCACATGGGATGCTGAGATTAGAACCCGGGTCAGCCGCGTGCAAGGCAAATGCCCTCCCGGCTGTGCTATCGTTCCAGCCCCAGAGTTCTTTTTTTCTTGACAGCTGAAATGGGAGCCAAACCCACCAGGTCCACCTCATCCTCAGGGAGCCTCGGTCACATACGCCCCGCCACACGTCTCCTTCCTTCCATGCCCACTGGGGACCCCAGGAGGGAGGGAGGCCCCAGGGACCCTCACCCTCGAACCGGATGTTGAAGGCAGAGGCAGCCCGCGCCTGGTCAGATGTGAACTCGATGCGGATGGCACTGCCCTCACTCAGCAGTCCCTCGAACGGCACATTCTGGGTTCGCAGGGAGTCGTATAGGGGGGCCGAGCTGTTGGTCAGCCCGCTGTAGACCCTCATCCTGGTGGTGGGAAAGGGGTGGTCACAGCCTGGCCATGCGCAGTTATGGGATGTCAAGTCCTGCCTCTGAGGCTGGGACTCAGCACCCTCCCCCCCCATGTCTACCTTTCCCAGCACAAGCCTGGGCATGACTGCTGGGACTTCTGGAACGTTCCCTCTGTCTAGAATCCTTGTGGACTGATCTGAGGTCTTTGTGTGTGTGTGTGTGTGTGTGTGTGTGTGTGTGTGTGTGTGTACGCACACGTGTGCGTGTGTGTTGAACTTCTACCGTGCTGACCTACTGGAAACTATTTATTTTCTTTTAACCCCAGAGATGCTCAGGGTTTCCTCCTGGCTCTGCACTCAGGAATTCCTCCTGGCAGTGCTCGGGGCACCATATGGGATGCTGGGAATCGAACCTGGGTCAGCTGCGTGCAAGGCAAACGCCCTACCTGCTGTGCTATCTCTCCAGCCCCTACTGGAAACTATTTCATTTGTTTTTTTGGGCCACACCTGCCTGCAGGTGCTCAGGGCTTGCTCCTGGCTCTGCATTCAGGCATCACCCTTGGCAGGGCTTGAGGGATTCTATGGGATGCCGGGGATCAAACCTGGCTCAGCTGTGTGCATGGCAAAGCCCACTGTCTAGCACTCGAACCCCTGGAAACCTCATCCTCTGTTTCTGCACTCAGGAATCACTCCTTGTGGTGCTTGGGGGACTACATGGGATCAAACCAGTGTCTGCCATGTGCAAGGCAAATGCTCTACCCACTGTACTATTGCTCCAGCCCCTCATCAGGGACTTCAATAAGCTTCAAGAGGGACCCATGTTGGTCTACTTTCTCTTTCTACTCCATCTGGTTGTGTTTTATAAACTTGCATAAACTTGTGGGTTTTTTTTTTTTTGCTTTTTGGGTCACACCCAGCGATGCACAGGGGTTACTCCTGGCTCTGCACTCAGGAATCACTTCTGCTGGTGCTCAGGGGACCATATGGGATGCTGGGAATCGAACCCAGGTCCTCTGCGTGCAAGGCAAATGCCCCACCCAATCTGCTATCACTCCAGCCCCAAACTTGTTTTTTTTTTGAGGGGGGTAGTTTCCTTGAGCCATTGAGGGGAGGCTGAACTGAGGTCAGGTTTTGGCAAGTACCCTTTCTCAGGTTTTAGGGGTGGTGGGGGAGCTTGGTCTAGAAGACTGCAGAGAAGCTGTGCTTTGGGGCTGCACTCCTACAGCGGCCGTTTGAAAACAGTGAATTATTGCAGATTTTTTTCAGGACGAAGCTAGTCTGCTTGGAAGGGCTCTGGATTCCAGAGTGGGAGGAATTGTTCAGCTGTGTTCTGTAGGAACCCATTCCTGCTTAAAGAGGTTCCCGGCCATGCTTTGAAACTTTAAAGCATCTGTCTCTAAGAGAACTGGGTTCTGAAATTCTTGGGGTCTGTCCCGCAAAGATCTTGCTTTTACATTTCTGCTGCCTTACTCGGCTCTCTCAGAGGGTGGCATCCAGTGTTGGGGGGGTGTGGTCGAGAATATTCCTTGTCCTTCAATAGGTGGATAAATAATCCAGCTACTCACTTCCTCCTGGGACCATTCAACTCTGTGCTCAATGCAGGTTTCTAGGGTCCCCAGAGAGTAGGGGTCCAGGCACCCCCTGGTCACTTGTATGTTAAACCAGAGTTTACTGATTCCATCCCTTCCTACATACTTTGTCTTTGCCTTTACCTGTGTTCTCTCTCTCTCTTTCCCTTTCTTTCTCTTTCTTGCTTTTTGGGTCACACCCAGTGATGCACGGGGTTTACTCCTGGCTCTGTACTCAGGAATTACTCCTGGAGGGGCTCAGGGGACCACTGGGGGTGCTGGGGATTGAACTCGGGTTGGCCGCTGTGCAAGGCAAATGCCCTACCCTCTATTCTCTGTACTATTGCTCCAGCCCCTACCCATACTTTCTTGAAGGGCACCCCCCTCCCCCGCCCGTGAACATTCTAGAACATTCCCACGCAAGCTCTTAGAATAGTCACATTTTAAGATACTGATTCTCTGCAGCAGGCACAGAGTTTATAGACATGCTCTGGCTTTGAAGCAAGACTTCCCCGGTAGCTTCTCCCTCTTTCCTAAGCATACGTTTGCACACTGACCCCCATCCACTCCCTCTAATACCAGAGAACAATGTTCTAGACTCGTCCACAGCTGAGCGCAGAGCAGGTCTCAATAGATGCTCCTCTCAATTCAAACAGGACATGAAGGAGAACAAAGGGGACAATGTGGGTGACCTCAATCCCATCTTGACCCCCCCATGCCGTGTACCCCTCCCTCGCTTCCTTCTCTGTGAATGAAAGGGGTCAAAGCTGGTGGTCTCCAAGGATCTTGCCTCCTCCACAACTCCCCCTTCCTTGCCTGCCCGGAGTGACATCTCAGCCAAGACTCCACCTGCCTCCTCTCCATCTGACTAACCCTTTGGGGAGGAAGCAGGCTGCGGGGGTTTGGGGGGGGGGAGAGAGACTCTCAGTGGATCTACCTGTCCTTCTCATGCAGCGCCAATCTCTCAAAATGCAGGTGTAGTTTCTGGCCTTCTGGAGCTTCGATGGTCCACACACAGAACTGACTCCCGTTGGCACTTCCAGAATAACTTGGAGACAGGACGCGGCCAATGGTGGCATTGCGGATCACCCCTCCACAGGGTGCTGAGGCCAGAATGGGGGTGGCCATAAGAGGAGAGTTGGGCAGAGAGAGAGTGAGAGAGAGAAAGAGAGAGAGATAGAGTATTTTTGTCATTTTGTCTCTCCTTGATCCCTGACCTGTAGCAGAAGGAAACAAGATGGGAACAGAAGAGCACAAACCAGCCCCCCCGCCCCACCTCGGGACCCCACCTTCATGCCCAGGGATGTCCTTGCCTGAACAGAGCCCTCACCATCTGTGTTCCCCGGAGGGAGTGAACAATTACGATTTAAGAATTTTTCCAGAGCGCTGGCTGCATCCTGTTTTCTAGCTGTAAAACAGCAATCAAGAAGGACATAACTCGGGAGTTCACAAAAAGAAGAAATGAACATTTAGTACTTGGCACTACAAAAATTCAGCCTCACTCCTAATAAAAAAATGCAAATCTGAACTCGCTTTCATTTTCATCCACTTAATTGGCCAAGATAAAAAGCAGCCATAAAGCCGGGCCCAGGAAAGGTGACGCCGAGCTGGGAAGTCTCATTTGTGACTGGTTAGCGTGGGGAGTGCTCTGACCTTTTGGGAGGATAATTTGGCGAAAAGTTTAGAAAGTGTGTTCTTGACCTCGTAATTGAGACTCTGCGGATTTCATCCGCAGAAACCGGCTTTAGAGGTTTTCACAAAGGTTTACGAGCAGGGCTGCTCCGTGATCAGTTATTTTTAAGAGCAAGAAATGAGACGTGACACGCATGTCCACTCACACTTGCCGAAGGAAATAAATACGTCTATTCATGTAACCATGAAATGCATGTTCTCAAAGAAGGCTTGAGAATACAGAGAAATGCTCACGACATCTTGGGTTAGAAAATGGCCTGCCCTATCTATTTCTCTTATAGTTTAGGTGACATGGTGACCTAACACTGTTACGACAATGAATGGCATCGGTACCTGTGATTTTGATACATGAAGTTACTGCTCTGTGCCCCAAAACCATTGTCTTTTTTTTTAACTTTTTGTGCCACACCCGGTGATGCTCAGGGGTTCCCCCTGACTCTGCACTCAGGAATTTCTCCTGGTGGTACTCCAAGGACCCATAGGGATGCTGGAGATAGAACCTGGGTCAACCACGTGGAGAGCAAATGCCCTACCTGCTGTATTATCTATCTCCCTGGCCCCACTGTGTCTTTAAATCACTTCTAACTCAAGCTTTTCCTTTATTCTTACGCCCTTCCTCCACTGCTGGGCACTCTCAGTTTTGTGATTTAAGGACAAGGAGTTGCCATCACTTGATACCGTCTATTCCCTTGTTTACTTGTTCTGTATACCACAGCCGGGTGAGATCACCTGATACTTGCCTTCCTCCTTCTGACCTATTCTGCCTAACGTGATGTCCTCCTGTTCCACCCAAGTCACAGCAGACTGCCAGATTCCAACTTCTCTGGCTGCAGTATGGGACGCCATCATGTCTGATACACCACGACTTCTCTGTTCACCCCACTGTCATTGGACATTGAGGCTGTTTCTGATTCTATAGCCCTGACCATTTCAATGAACTATTTGCCAAGATCACTTGAAACAGGAATATGAAAGTGATTTGTTTCTATCTTCTACATTTTTTTTCTTTTTTGGGTCACACCCGACAATGATCAGGGGTTAAGTCCTGGCTCTGCACTCAGGAATTACTCCTGGCAGTGCTTGGGGGACCAAATGGGATGCCAGGGATCAAACCCAGGTCTGCCACATGCAAGGCAAACTCCCTACCCGCTATACTATCACTCCAGCCCCTCTTCTACACATTTTTATTTCTATTTGAGAGGGGAGTTACATTCACATGTTACCTTTTTTTCCATGAAATTTAATAAGTCCAGGAAGGTGAATTTTGAACCGGAGCTAAGCATTTGTTGAAGGACCACATGATTGACTCGGACTGGTATTAGGAAGGAACGGTACATGGTTCTCTGCTCTGCTCTGCACTTCCTGGGAACTTAACAGTGTAGAAACTTCCAAGAAGCTCTGCAGAGTGAGCTCTCATCGAACATGGACAATTGGTTCTTAGAAGCTACAACTTGGAGCACCAGGATGCATAACTGAACAAATCTTGCCATAGGCTAATTGATATAGAGTTACATTTCTGATGACAAACTATCACCAGAATTCTGTACTATTAAGGAATAATTTGTATTCATTCATTTTCCAGCCCACATTTCCAATTTAGCTTTGAAGGGACTCAGAGAACTAGCCCATGCCAACTCAGGGTTCAAGTTAGGAATTGATTCTGGACAGTCTGACCTCCCAACAGAGGCTCACCTTCCCTCTCTCTCACACTCACACACATGCACGCACACTCACTCAGACTGGGACAGTTGAGACTCACCAATTAACACACAAAAGCTAACACCCAACAATGGACACACATTAACTTGCACAGCTTTGAGATGTGGGAGCAAATCCAGGGACGTGGATTTTCACACAAACACGAGAGGATGTGAAAAATGCAACAGACAGTGGGTCCCGCCAAAAATCATCCTCCCAATCAATATTCCAGCAGGTTCTAGAACATTCCAGAAGAACCAGCTCTCTTTCTCTCAGCGCCACAGACAGCACACAGGGGAGAGGGGGGTTTCCTTCCTCTAGGTGGCCTTGCAGTAATCATGTAAATTAGGACCTAATGTGCTACTCTGCACTGCAACTCTGCAGTGGATCTAGAATGAGTCACTAAAGCACGTTGAGCCTTGAATTTACTTACTGCAAAATGAGGCTAAGTCCCCCTTCAGTCTAGGACTATGGGGAGCAATCGATGAAGTATTTAGAGAGCTAGACCCAGTCCCTGGCATGGACCGGAACTCAAGGCCTTGGGCAGGATGTGGGAACCCTGAGGACAGGGGGACACGATCCGTCCGTGCTGGGGCCCCCAACCACCTGTGTTCTGCAGCTCTGCTCATTGTTGCCTCTCGACTCCCCTTCCTTGCCTTATTAGAACAAGTGATTACTCTGTCTGGCTTCAATTTGCCCGCGTGGTCCCCCATCCATCTTTCTTAGCACAAACTGAGGCTCAATTTGTCTCTGATTTTATACGTAGATAAAAATTAACGTGCGAGAGGTGCAGAGACCAACTGGCCCCTGCTTCGGGTTTTTTTCCTTGTTCAAAAGATGACATTTCTAAAGGGCCGGGGGAACAATACCCCCACAATCGGGCCTCTGACTTTAAGCTGTCAGTTGCTTTTTTGGACTCCACCGACTGTGAATGCTGAGAGGACGGGAATTATGCCCTATTATTCCGAAATTATTCCTAATATTCTCCTTGTACGTGGTTCACAGCGCGGCATATGGTCTGTGCTCAGTTAAGACACACAGCTTTCTCCCCCCACCACCACCCCCACCCCTCCACCCCATCAGGATTCTCTGGAGCTTAAACTAGGGCTTTGCTTTCTTGATTGATGAGGCTGGTCAAGGTGATGCAGGGCCAGTGTGGGACAGTCTGGTGCCTCTCAAACACTCACAGACCTCCTGACACACGAGGGACATGATAATAAGCAAATTTTCAAGTATGGCTTTGCACAGGGTCTGGTATATATATATTTTTCTTTTTTTTGCTTTTTGGGTCACACTCAGCAATGCTCAGGGGTTACTCCTGGCTCATGGCCTCAGGAATTACTCCTGGTGGTGCTCGGGGGATCATATGGGATGCTGGGAATTGAACCCAGGTCAGTCGCGTGTAGGGCAAACATCCTACCCGCTGTACTATCGCTCAGCCCCACAGGGCTTGGTATTGTGCAGTTCCAGTAACTCACTGGTCTGCAGTATGAGGGCTGGAGTGATAGCACAGTGGTAGGGCGTTTGCCTTGCAAGCGGCCAACATGGCCGACCTGAGTTCGATTCTTCTGCCCCTCTCGGAGAGTCCAGCAAGCTACCGAGAGTAACTCGCCCGCACGGCAAAGCCTGGCAAGCTCCCCGTGGAGTATTCTATATGCCAAACACAGTAACAAGAAGTCTCAAGATGGAGATGTTACTGGGCCCACTCGAGCAGATCAATGAACAATGGGAGGACCGTGACTGCAATATGAGAGGAAGAGCTCAGGAAAGGGGGCTTCAGAATTCAGGTGTGCCCCTGGATGGCTTCTCTCTAACGTCACTCTCTACATGCATGTGAAGAATCATACTCCTCTGCACTCTCACGTGAAGGACAGCATGCAGTTCTTGCTGGGCTAACTCACCACTGTGGACTCTGGTCACCCTCAACCACCTTTCTTCGCTGCGGAGAGGTCAGAGTGATTTGGAGGGTAAAGGTCACCCCCAATGCAGATCTCCTTCCCAGTGCCTCCTGCCGGGCCCCCCAAGTCTCTTGGTCTAAAGCCCTTGACTGATGTAACCGCTGACCACACCCCCTGGCTCACGCCCCACCGTTCTTCTCTGTGGTCCAACAGGATGAATCTTCTCTTATGTTTCTTCCAACTCATTGAGTCCCTTCTTATCTCTGAACTCTGGCCTATGGTAGTTCCTGTGTCAAGAACGGCCTTGGGGGGCTGGAGCAATAGCATAGTGGGTAGGACGTTTGTCTTGCATGCGGCCAACCCAAGTTCAATCCCCAGCATCCCATATGGTCCCCTGAGTACCGCCAAAAGTAATTCCTGAGTGCAGAGCCAGGAGTAACCCCAGAGAATCACTGTGTGTGACTCTCCAAACAAAACAAAACAAAACAAAACAAAAAGAACATTTTTCTTTCCTTTTGGGTCATACCCGGTGATGCTCAGGGGTTACTCCTGGCTCATGGCCTCAGGAATTACTCCTGGCGGTGCTCGGGGGACCATATGGGATGCTGGGAATTGAACCCAGGTTGGCCATGTTGGCTGCGTGCAAGGCAAACGCCCTACCCGTCGTGCTATCACTCCAGCCCCCAAAAAGAACGATTTTGTCTTTTTTCTCCACTCAGCTCCGCTCAACGTTCAGATCCGGGTCCGCCACCCCCTGCCCCAGGGCTGGGTTCCCTTCACATCCTCACCTCCCTGCACACCTTTCCTTGCCCATGCCAGCCCCCTACCTCGAGGACTAAGATGGGGATTTCCTCTGCCTACTCATGCACTGGGATTTGGGGCATTTCCTTCCGGGTAATCAGAGCCATCAGGAAACCATCCTGTGAGCTCACTTCCTTGTTGCTTTACCCCTTGCACTAGACTAGAGGCTCCTTTGGAGCAGGCCTGGATCTGAAGCAGCTTTATTGCCACGTACAGTAGCACCTGGTGGGCCTGGGGTGGGGGTATTTCTTGAACGGTCACATACAAAGAGCCACATAAAAGGTAAAGGTAAAGGCCCTCCCGTTGATCGTCGATTTGCTCGAGCAGGCCCAGTAACGTCTCCATTGGAGACTTTGTTGTTACTGTGTCTGGCATATCGAATACTCTCGGTAGCTTGCCGGGCTCTCCGAGAGGGGCGGAGGAATCGAACTCGGGTCGGCCGTGTTGGCCGCTTGTAAGGCGAACGCCCTAGAGCCACATAGGCCACTTGAAATGGACCAATATTCTACGTCAATTATACACCAACAGAAAAAAATAAATCCTACAAGTGTCCTGAAGAGTTTTTTTTTCCTTTGAAGCAAGTCGTTTTTGTTGAAACTTATTTAAAATGATATGAAGAGAGAGAGAGAGAGGGAGGGAAGGACGTGCTTGAGAGAGAAGACAGGCTTCTCCTGGCAGAGATGAACAAGTGGAGAATCAGAGAGACCAGCCAGTGAGAAACACGTGCAATGCGAACACGAACTTGAAGAGCAAATCTGAAGAGTTTGCCTGTCTTTAAGCCTGTAAGTCTCAGATCTTTCTGCAGGCTTAGAAGGTCCAGTCTGGCTGGCATATCTGGTCAGCTTCCAGAATTTCTACCTGGTGGCTTTGAGCAAGTGATTTTTTTTTTACACCACGAGCCTCAGTTTCCTCATCTGTAAAATGGGGACACTGACTTCAACCATGTAGGATTACTGTGCAAATTTCCTGCATCCTCGGTGTGGTTCCCACACACACACATTAGGGTCCAATCATGGGAGCAGTAGCACCCAAAACACCAGCCACTGATGACAAAACAGGCAGCTTAGACCTGATGGGAGTTAAACGCTCTTGGCACCAAAGGACATTATGAAGTTGCTAAGAGACAACCCATAGACAGGGAGAAAATGTTGGCAAACCAGGTGTCTGATAAGGGTCTCAGTATCCAAATATGTAAAAAACTCTTATCACACAACAATGAAAAGACAACCAAAAGTCTGGATGTGGGGCACACCCAACAGTGCTCAGGGAGTCCCCCATGCTTCTCATCACTCCAGGTCCCGGAAGAATATATGGGGTGCTGGGAAGTGAACCTGGGTCAGCCACATGCAAGGTTAAGTGCCTTCCTCACTCTTTCATCTGACTCCCAAAAGACAACCCTTTGTTAAAAATGTTGGAAGCATTGACATATCTCCAAGACAAATAGATGGCCAATAAGAACACAGGCAGTGGCTCCATGCTTCTGATGACCAGCTCTTAGGGAATTTGCCGCACACTGAATAGGATGGCTACTCTGAGTAAGAGGGAAAAAATAGGGAAAGGAGAAAGTCCTGACACAGATGTAGAGGCATTGGAAAGGAACACAGTGTAGCGTCTGTGGAAAGTAGTTTGACAGAACCTTAAACAGGTTCGATACGGAATTACCGTATCATCCAGTGATTCAACTTCTGGGCCGTACACCCAAGAGAAATGAAAACCTCTGTCTGCCCCAAAGTTTATAGGCAGATGGTCATAGCAGTCTTATTTGGAACAGCCCAAAGCAGAATCAAGGATAACAGCCATCCATGAATGAACAGCTAAACTGAGACAAAGCCCCACACCAGACTATTATTTCGCCAGAAAAGGACAGGAAGTTCTGACGCTTGCTACCATGTGGACAAACCTTGACATCATTAGGAAAACCTGAACTGCGTGAAGGAAACCAGCTAGAAAGGTCCCAGGATTCCATTTCGATGAAAATGGCCCCAATAGACAAATCCAATGAGACTGAAAACACACTTGTGGTTGCCCATGGTTGGCAGCTAGGGAGAGAAGAGGAGGCATGTTGTCATGGGAGTGATTTGGGGGTGATGAAGATATTTTGGAGTGATCATGATCATACCATGCTGAAAATGTCCAAAATGTCATAGATGGACACTAGGTAAAGGTAAGGTAAAGGCCCTCCCGTTGATCGTCGATTTGCTTGAGCGGGCCCAGTAATGTCTCCATTGGAGACTTTGTTGTTACTGTGTCTGGCATATCGAATACGTCACGGGGAGCTTGCCAGGCTCTGCCGTGCGGGCGAGATCCTCTCAGTAGCTTGCCGGGCTCTCCGAGAGGGGCGGAGGAATCGAACTCGGGTCGGCCATGTTGGCCACTTGTAAGGCGAACGCCCTACCGCTGTGCTATCGCTCCAGCCGATGGACACTATGCTTGGTGAATTTTACCATAATGAAGGTGATAAATATTTTGATGCCAGGAGTTGCCTGTATCTGAAGAGCTCTCTCTCTCTCTCTCTCTCTCTCTCTCTCTCTCTCTCTCTCTTTCTCTCTTTTGCTTTTTGGGTGATACCCGGTGATGCACAGGGGTTACTCCTGGTTCTGCACTCAAGAATCATTCCTGGCGGTGCTCAGGGGACCATATGGGATGCTGGGAATCGAACCTGGGTCAGCCATGTGCAAGGCAAACACCCTCCCCACTGTGCTACCATTCCAGTACCTCCCCCCTCTCTCTTGCCTTGGGCTAAGACCTTGTCATGAAGCGCAGTCTCAGTGCTTTTGGGGGTGCACGTTTGTGGACCCTCTGGTTGATGGGGGCAGGGCTGGCATGTACCTGAGCAGACGGGCTCGTGGCTGCTCCAGTGTGGCTTGGAGGCATTGATGCAGGTCAGTGTCCTGGCGCCCTGGAGCTCATAGCCCAGGTGGCAGTGGAAGTGGGCCAGCCCGCCCGAGTGCAGGTCCATCACAGTGACGTCCCCGAAGTCGGGCCGGCGGGGGAAGGTGCAGCTCAGCATGAAGGCTGGGGAAACGCAGAGACACCGTGTCAGAGAGGGGTGGGCGAGGAATGGGGAGAGAGAGGAAGGCCTCAGGGGACTCCAGAGGGTGGGGGGAGAGGGGACTCCGGAGGGTCACAGGACAAGGAGAGAGCAGGACAGCACTTCCCTTAGGCTAGAGGCTCTCAGTGCTTCACACTGAGACAGTGGGGGAGGGGAAACACACTGGCTGTACAGGGCTGACTCCTGGCTCTGTGCTCAGGGGTCCCTCCTGGTGGGGCTCTGGTGACAGTCTGTGGTACCAGGATCAAATCAGTCGCATGCAGGACAAACAGCCTGTCCTATCACTCAAGGTCCCCACTGGTTTTGTGGTTGCCTTTTGGGCTTTAAGGTCACACATGGCCATGCTCAGGGGTGATCCTGGCTCTGTGCTCAGGGGCTCCCTCCTGGCGGTGCTCAAGGGATCATATGAAGTGCTGGGGACTGAACCCAAGGGCGGGCTGCATGCCTTCCTGCATGCAGGAAGGCTGCCAGGAAGGCTGCAAGCGGCTTCCTGCCGGCCCACTCCTTGCTGGCCTGCTGAGACTGTGGGTTCGGGATGGGGCACGCCTTCCCCTCTCTCACTGTGAGGGCTGCTCAGACAAAACGCAACCAGAACCACATGGCAACCGGCTGATGAGACAGCAACATCCCGGTATCAGGGATCACCCTGTCCCCAGCGAGGGAAACAGGACTGATGGCCTAGCTGGTGACAGGAAGCCACAAGGTTGCATCCCATGCTTCCTCACATCCATCCCCCACAGATGACAGGCCAGACCGAGCACCAGTTCCACTGGCCGTTGTTCCCTGCTCCCCTTTTCCCGCCCAAGACAAGCCTGGACTCCATCCCTCAAAGACTTAGAAATGGCACCACCTGAGGACACTTGGACTGCCTGAAGGCCACCCTGACCCTACCAGTGGGGTTGGGACATAGGTTCCTCCCCCCCACCCCACCTGCCTGACCCCCCATGTGGAGGCGACCCAAGGTCACGGGGAAGGTGGTGTCCAGTAAGGATTCAAGGAACTGGGCGAGATCTGGCCCCACCCCTTATACAGAACCCAGTCAGCACTTCCTGTACAGGGGTGGGGAAAAGGGGGTATGAGCTTCTCACTGCTGCTAAGAGGATGTTAACTACTTCCTAGCTCCATGCCCTGGTGATGACCGACAACGTCTTTGACAGGAGACGGCAATCCCAATGGAATTAGGTCAGACACGAGCAGACCCCAGCCAACGTCTTTTTTTTTTAAAGTAGGAGTAATACTATTTATTCAGCCATTGATTAAGCTGACTGAATTGGGCATGAACTCACATTACTTTAAAAAATATTTTTTTTCTTTTTGGAGACCCTCTGGGATGCTGGGAATCGAACCCGGGTTGGCCACGTGCAAGGCAAATGCCCTACCCACTATGCTATCGCTCCAGCCCCCTAAAATTTTTTTAAATTGGATATTTGTGAGACAGACCATACAAACCTGTTCATAATTGGGTTTCAGTCATACAGTGATCCAGCACCCATCCTTCACCAGTGCACAGTTCCACCACCAGTGGCCCCCGTTTTCCCACCATCATCCCCCAAAACCTCCACCATCTACCCCCAGCCTCCCTCTATGGGAGGCACTTTCCTTCTTGCTCTCTCTCTCTCCTTTTCCTTTTGTGCATTATGGTCTGCAAGACAGGTGCTAAGAGGTCCTGGTGTTTGTTCCAGGCATTTGGTATTTTTTATCAGGATGGTAAGCCCAGCCGGAAGTCTTGATGGGTGCTGAGCAGGTAAGGAGACCCCCCGAAACAGCCACCTGGTCGTCTCAGAAACACCCGGGAGCAACTGACACAGGGACGGGGTTTCCAGATATCTGGTCAGTCTGGTGTGGACGTTTAGACAGGTGTGTGCATATGTGTGGGGGCTGGGGGCGATTCAGCTTTCTAGGCTGAGGTTCCAGACGGGGCCAGGACACAGGGAGCCCCTCCTCACTTCCAGGGAAAGCGACCCCAGGTCAAGGGGGGAAGGTGGTGGGAACTGTTGTGGGGGGGGTACTGGGATGAGGAGGGGGAGGGCAAGTGGGGCTGAGGGGGATGGGAAGAGATGCAGGGAGAGAGGCAGAGAGGTGGAGGGCAGGAAGGGCACATCTGGGAGAAGGGCAGAGCAGAGAGACGGGGGAGCTGGTCCCGGAGCCCTTTGATCTGAGTTGCATGGTCGGCCCTGCAAGTCTGCTTCCCGTGAGGTCAGCCCAGACTGGACCGTGCTTTCTCTCCACCAGCACCGCGGGCAGGACCTGGGACTCTGCCTCCAGAAAATCCCAGATCTCTCCTCACCGAATACCCAGCTTGAAAGGCTTTTCACACTCCTCAGTGCTTTGAAATCACAGTGATTATGGGAGTCATTGGGAGATAGTGTTGTTTGTTTGTTTTGGTGTTTTAGGGTCACACCTGGTGATGCACAGGGGTTACTCCTGGCTCTGCATTCAGGAATCACTCCTGGCAGTGCTGGGGTGTTGGGGGGGGGGGGGGCTATGGAATGCCAAGGATCAAACCTGTCAGCCACATGCAAGGCAAATGCCATCCCATTGTGCTATCGCTCTGGCCCCAAGACTGTGTTATGTGTCAATAAAGAAACTGTCGATATTTTCATCAACAAGCAATATCTTGGTAACTGAAATCCAGTTAGGACTGACTTCCTTTTCAAGTGTTTTACATATAGTATATGTTTAGATACTGTGTATGTAGTTTTATTTTGTTCTGGGGCCACACTGGCAATGCTCAGGGTGTACTCCTGTCTCTGCTCTCAGGGATCATTCCTGGCAGGGTCTGGGGGACCACATGGGATGCCGGGGATCAAATCTGGGCCAGTGCGTGTAAGGCAAGCACCCTGCCTGCTGTACGACTCTCTGGCTCTGAGTGGTCGGAAACATTTATTGGACGCTTTGGAAAACATTGATCTGAGAAGGAGGTCCCTAAGTCATGGTCCCTAAGCCAAAGGAGTGTCTGAGACAAACATTTTCAGCATCCCTGGCACTGGAGGAAAACTGAGGCAGGCCAGTCACCTACCCCACTGTGCGCCCCTTCTTACCCTGGTAGTGCAGCTGGAAGGTGCCCAGACCGTCCTCCTGGAAGGTGCGGAAGTAGACGGAGATGGTGTTGGTGGGGCTCCGGATGACCTGGCCCTCCACCAGGAGTGTCTGGTTGGCCAGCACGGTCAGCGTGGGGCCGTCCACAGCGCGGATGGACAGCAGCTCCCCTTCGGACAGGTTCACGCTCTTCACCTAGCAGGGGCAGGTGAAGAGTTGGGCAGGAGACAAGACTAACAGCCCGACAGCTTCCGGGATGGCCACTCTGCTCCCCAACCAGCGCATCCCTGGATGGACCCCCCAAGTCAACAGGGCAGATCTCGAGACCAGCCCTTGGCATATTTGGGGACCTGGGAACATCTAGTGCCCCCTGTGTGAGGACGAAATTGATGCCACGACAAGCTGCAGCTAACACTAAGTCTCAATGAGGCCTCAGTTTCTCTTTCCCCAAAGCAGGACTTGCAGTTTCTGGTAAACTCCCAATTGAGCAATTCATCTGGATCACAAACTGGGCAGTTGGATCTGGCCAGTCCTGAGGGGTCGCCTCAGCCTTCTTGGAAAGAACCCCAAACTGTGACTGGTACCGGCTATCTAATTGCTGACCACTGATGTCATAAGGCCAATGCTGAAACCGCTCTGAACTCTAAACCCTATATAAACTGCTTGTGATTTGGAATCAGAATCCTTGTCAAGACTTCACTGCATTGGATGAGACCTGGACTCTAGCTCGAGCTAGCCAATAAAGACCCTTTGCTTATTGCATTGCAACTTGTCTTCGTGTGATTCCTCTGGGGAGATCTCCGTCCAGTTTCGCACCTAGATTTCAGATGTGAGTATGTGCCCCCACCCCATCCCCAAAGGCTGAGGGAACTGAGGGAAATGAGTCTTCGGGGCAGCACACGTGAAGCTGGGTTGGGCCAAGAAGCTTCTGGAGGCCGGCAGTGGAGAGAGGGGTGTTGGTGGGGCAGGGCACAGGGGTCCTTGTCATGGAGTAGAGAAAGGGCTCACCCAATGCCCGAGTTGGAGGGACTGCGTTCACCTCTACTTGAACTCCATGAACATGAACTCAAACCTACTCAGGGTCACAAGCCCCAGAGCTGAGAGGAGGCTGTGGGTGCCACGGAGGGTCCTGGAGGGGGTGGGGCTGCCTGAATCCTAAGCAAGCCAGAAAGCCCTTCCGGGAGCAAAGGTCTGTTTAGGGCAGAAGGTCAACTCAGCGCAGAAACGTCTGGTGGCTCTTGACCAGAGAGAGGCTCATTCCCAGCCTCTGGCCTCGCCCCAGGAGGGTCTGCCACCAGCAGCGTGAGAGAATTTATAGCCCATCCCATCTGCCCCATCTGCAGGACAGTGCATGTCACCTGCCCGTGGTCCCTCATGCATCATAGAAAGGACAGCCGAAGCTGGGAACTCGGTTGGGGAAGGCCTGGTGGGGGGTGCGCATAGGAAACAGGCCCTGAATTCTGCGTCTGTCTGTCTCTGTCTGTCTGTCTCTGCTGGGTTCTGGAAAAATGCCTTCCCCAGGTTCTCTTGTTTGTTTTTTTTTTCTTCTTCTTCTTGAAACTCAGTAAAGCAGCAACATTTCTATTTTGCTGATGGACAGTTTGAGGCTGAGAGAGATTTTTTGGCTCCTGTCCAAGATCAATGTTACCTCACAGAGCAGGAGTGACACCCAGGCTTGAGAGCACTATGCCTCCTGCTAGTCCATTCTTAGTTCACAGGCAAACGTTTATGACTCAACTGATGCAGGCGGAGATTCCCTGAGTGGAGGGGTATGTGTGTGTGCGTGTGCGTGCGTGTGCGTGCGTGTGTGTGTGTGTGTGTGTGTGTACGTATATGCACATGCATGTATTAAGTGGGGTATGAGAAAACTTACTTTCTGAGTACTAGGGCTCAGGGTTTATCCACAGGACCCCTCCCTTCCCTTCCACATATGTCAAGCTCTTTCCTCTTTCCCAGATTGGGAACTCCTATTCATCCACCAAAGCCCAGCCCAAAGTGCCCCAAAAACAGCAAGCCTGATTAAACACTCAGGAAAAGACCCCCTTTGGGCCCTCGCTGGGGTTACCTGGAGCTCTACCCCATAGCCAGTGTAGACGGTCACGTTGTAGGTGCACTCCAGGAAGTTGGTGAGGGGCAGGGGTGGGGCGTCATTGGAGTCGATGTAGCCTTCGGGCTCAGAGAAGCTCAGGCTGCAGAAAGCTGGAGGGAAGGCTGGAGTGAGGACACAGAGGGCGCCGCCTCCCACTACCCCCACCCCCCCCACCCCGGGGGGGACAGGGCGTAGCAGGAGCCAGGACTCCCCCTGAAGAGTCATCCCTTTCCTCCCCTTCCTGGTGTTCCCCCTCTGCTCCCCAACCAGCAGCGCCCTCACCTTGTCACAGCTGACCTGGGATGATCACAAGCTGCTTGGGACCCTCCTCCCAGTCTAGGGGGTGACCCCAAGACCGTCCTTGGGGGCTGACTACACAGCCCTAGTGGGTGGGCGTCTCAGCCAGGCTCACGGGTCAGGCGGGATTCAAAGCCTGACTTCCCGGGGCCTGGCCTCTGGGGCAGCGTGCGAGCTGTGACGTGAAGGGGGAGATTTGCAGGGCACGAGGGTGGTTGGATGAACCAACACCGGAAGTGAGTTGTAGTAAGTCTGGCCAAGCTCTGGGCCTGCACCACCGCCTTTAAGACAAGCGAAGGAGTCTGTTTCTGGATGGAAAGGCTTTACTTTGTATTTTATTGATTGATTTGGGGTGGCGGTGGCGGGGGGCTCACAGCCAGTGATGCTCAGGGCTGACTGCTGACTCTGTGCTCACTCAGAGGGATCACTCCTGGCGGGCTCAGGGAACCAACTCGATGGGGTTCAGCAGCTGAAACAGCACTTGGCAGTGTGCAAGGGGAGTGCTCTAGCCACTGGCTGTACTGTCCCTTCGGTCCCTGGAATGGAAACATTCTTTATGGCAGAGGGTGGGGAGGGGTCACACCTGGCAGTACTCAGGGCTTAGACCTGACTGTGCTCAGGGATCACTCTTGGTAGTACTCAGGGGACCAAAGAGGGTGCTGGGGATCGAACCGGGATTGACGGAGTGCAAGGTAAGTACCCTCCCCGCCGCGCTGTCTTTCTGGCCCCTGGAACGGAAAGATTTAAAATCTCCCTCTTGAGGGGCTGGAGTGGTAGCACAGCGGGTAGGGTGTTTGCCCTGTACGCAGCAGACCCGGGTTCGATTCCCAGCATCCCAGAGGGTCTCGTGAGCTCCGCCAGGGGTAATTCCTGAGAGCAGAGCCAGGAGTGACCCCTGTGCTCGCCGGGTGTGACCCCCAAAACAAAACAAAAGGAAAAAATCTCCCTCTTGAGGGGCCAGCGGGCCCTGGGTGAGAAGTTTGGGCTGTTGGGGTCTCAGTTACCCTGCCTTAGAATCAGGAATATGAACTCTGAGGCCCGGAAGTAGCTCCTAACCAGGTCTCCGCAGATGGTACCCAAGGGTGGGGGCCCCCCAGACCGCCTTCTCCCCAGCCCTCCTCCAGGGGGGCTTCCAGGGCGTGGGCAGCTGGAAGGGTGGGCCCTACCTGGGGCCTGCTCGGTGGTGATGACCGTGGTGGTGATGATCGTGGACGTGGTGGTCTCCTGGCTCTCCTCGGACGCAGACCCGGTCAGTTCGTTCTCTCCCTTGTCCAGCAAGGCCAGGGGGCTGGCGTCCTCCAGGGCCGTGTCCGGGGCCTCCTCGGGCCCCGCGGGCTCCCCGGAGCCGGGCCTCTGGGGCAGCGTCTGGGCCGGGAGGGGCTGCGACGTGAAGGGGGAGACCCGCGGGGGCGCGGGGGGTGGTGGGGGCCGCCCCCTCCCTCCCGCGCGGCCAGCGGGGCTCCCCCGAGGAGGGCGGCAGCGGCGCGGGGTCCGCGGCGGGGGGCTCGCTGGGGGTCCCGGGCCTCTGGGAGGCGGGGGCGAGGGGCTCCGAGGGGGCCGGCTGGGAGGCCTGGGGCCGCGGCTGCTTGCGGGCCGAGTTGCCCAGCTTGAGCGGCCGCTGCTTCGGGGCAGGGGGCGTGGACGGCAGGGCAGCGGCCCGGGGCTCCGACGGGGCTGGGCCGCCCGGCGCCTCCCCGGACTGCGCGGGACTCGGAGGCGCAGTGCTCGCCGCGTCCTCTGGGCTCTCTGCGCCCGCCAGGCTGCCCGGCAGTGCCCCCGGGGGCAGGAGGTAAGTGTCGGTGAGGCCGGTGCCCTCCAGTCCTGGGGCGTCTGCGGAGGAAGAGGGAAGGCGCCAGTCAGAGTGGACCCCGAGGGGCCTCCCAGGTCCGGTCCTCCCCTCTCCTTTCTCTCCCCGCTCCCCTGCTTTCCCCCTCCCTTACCTCCCCTCCCTTCCCCTGCTTTCCCTCTCCTCCCCTCCCCTCCCCTCCCCTCCCCTCTCCTCTCCTCTCCTCTCCTCTCCTCTCCTCTCCTCTCCTCTCCTCTCCTCTCCTCTCCTCTCCTCTCCTTCCTTTCCTCCCTCCTCCCTTCCCTCCTCCTCTCCTCTCTTCTCCCCTCCCCTCCCCTCCCCTCCTCTTCTCCCTACTCCTCTCCCTCCTCTTCTCTCCCTCCTGTCTTCCCCTCCTCCCCTCCTCTCCTCTCCCCTCCTCTCCCCTGCTTCCCCTCCCTTCCCCTTTCCTTCCCTCCTCTACTTTCCTCTCTCCTGCTCTCCCCTCCCCTCCCCTCCTCCCTTCTCCTTCCTTCCTCCTTTCCTTTCTTCCCTTCCATCCTCCCCTCCCCTCCCCTCCTCCTTCCTTCCTTCCTTTCCTCCGCCTTGCGCCAAGCCCTAGGGCTGGTAGTTCCCATCCCGCGCGAAGCATCACAGCTCTGGAAACCAAGTGCACAAGCGCCTCGCAGTCTCGGCGAGTAACCGAACCAGACGAGGAAACGGGGAGAGACCCTCTTTGACGTGACAGATGCTGGTGAAGGGAAAATCTACCACGGCAACGCGAGCGAGGACCAGCCCCTGACCACCACGAATGGCTGGGTGGGCGTTGCCCTGCCCAGGGAGCATCCACGGCGAGGCCACGAGGGGGCCGGGACCAGACCACAGTCTCCTCCCAGGCCGCGTGCCTGGCTCAGGGCTCGGAGGTCCCGGGGCCCATAAAGAGGCTGTGAAACGTGACCTCGGAGGAGACCCGAGCAGATACAAGGGTTCAGAATCCCGAGTCAGGGTCAGAGCAGGGGGTGTGGGCTGAGCCATGCCAGGAGGCGGGGCCACAGAGGCAGAGGGTGGGGGCGTTAGAGAAAAAGTTGGCCTTGTGGGCACAGTCATGCAGGGAGCAGTTTTAGCCGGGACTCAGTTTTGCCAATGACAAGGCTTTGCCTTTCTCGAGCCTCCGCTTCCCCCGCTGCGAAGTGGGGTCTTCCCCTTTAGTTTGTACCGTCCGGGGGGTGCGTGTGGATGGGAGCAGGTGTACAAGGACACCTGGTGCCTGACACGCCGAGTGACCACACTGTCAGCCGCGGCTGTGGCGTTCGTTCCTGTCTCTGTCCTCATGCCCCTCGGCAGCCAGCTAGGCCGTCAGGATTCCCGAGGAGCACCTCGAGATGGAGAGGGACTCAATCCCGGCCACCAAGGCCTGCGGACCGACAGCTTCCTATGCCAGTTTTCTGCAGTGAGACATTTACTCCGCTCTGGTCCCCGGGCCCTTCCGTGCTGTCATTTAAATGGATCCCCACAGCCCTTGGAAAAGGCTCATTAACCTCGCTGGGTGGCAGCCCTGGCCTCATCACTTCAGATGACAAGGGCTTGCCACGAGCATCTACCAAAATTTCTGCCACGCCACGTGGATCGTCCCCCAGGCTGCATTCCTGGAGGTACCACCTGGAGAGGAGAAGTTGTGGACGTGACCTGAGGGGGAGTTGAGGTGTTTGGGGGTCAGTTCCCGTCAGCTCCCCCTGGTCCCAGGAGGGAAGCTCGGGAGTCAGCGCTGGCTTGCAGTCCTGCCTGGCTCCCGGCGTGGGGGCCTGACTGATTGGCCCATGCAGCTGGTGGACACTGCTCCCACGTCCTGTGATTCGATCCAACTCGGGGGTTGGCGCATCTCTTGTGCTCAGTTTGTCCGGTCCATGGACTGTTGGGGACAGATCTCTGCAGATCGTGGAGTGAGAAAAGGCAAAGGAGACAGGATGCTGAGGGACCGGTCACAATTCCTGACCCCCGAGGGCCACATGTAGACCTGCACCAGGCTTCAATCCAGAGGGCATGAGGGCTGGGGCCAGGGTCCGGCAAGGGCAGGCCTGTCCTGGCCGCTGTGCAGTTTTTTGGCGCCTGTGTGGTTGGGGTTTCTTCTCTTCTCAGATGGTTCCTTCTGAGCCCAGGAGAAAGTTGGCGGTCCAGGCTGTGGTTCTGATGTTGGCAGAGAGACAGGGAAACGCCCTCAGCAATGAAACTTAGGTCAACAAAACTTAGGTTGATCCACCCTGTGCTTACAGATCACGATCACGATCACAATCCTGTTGTTCGTCGATTGCCTCGAGCAGGCACCAGTAACGTCTTCTTCACCCTAGCCCTGAGTTTTTTAAAAAATGCCATATTCAAGGCTCTTACAGGGTTAGGAGAATGAGACCCACCATTGTTACTGGTATTTGGCATATTGGGTACGCCACGGGGAGTTTGCCAGACTCTGCCGTGTGGGCAGGTTACATTCGGTAGCCTGCCAGGTTGTCCAAAGTAAGAATGAGATAATAAGATCTCATTCCCAGCTTCCGGGAGCTGGGTTTTATAGTCTCTGGGTCTTGGCCGTTGATGGGATTACACGGCACAGGGGGCCAGTTGGTGGGTGTGACCCCGGCCTGCTGGAAGATGGAGGATCTGGGTGGAGGATGCTCAGCCCTGATCCGAGCAGGCTTGGAGATCTCAGCCCAAAGGACCCACATGCCTTGGATACAGAAAACAGACCAAACCAGACCCTCACCTATTTACAGCAACACACCCAGAGAAGCTCCTGCAGAAAGAAAAGGCCAGGAAAGGAATTTCAAAGAAGACCATCACCACTCCTAATCTGCTTGGCAACCTCCTTAGCAACGGACTTGGACCTATGTAGAAGCCACATGTGGGGGCAGGTTGGAGAAACCCTATAAAGGCCACCTTGAACAAAGGAAGGGCGAGCATATGCTGCCCTAGCCCTTGTGCTGCTTGCGCCCACGTGGCCTGAACACATGTGTCGCCCACGTCTCCCCTCTTGAGATGTGGACTTCCATGCTTTCCTGTCTAATGCTGGGGTGTGCGTAGGGGCTCTCTCCGCCCTTGGAGAAGCCCGGGCTCTCTCTTGAGTGCTTTTCTCTCTCTCTCTCTCTCTCTCTCTCTCTCTCTCTCTCTCTCTCTCTCTCTCTCTCCCCTCTCTCTCTCATTCTCTCTCCCTCCACACCTTCAAAACCTCCAAATGAAAACTAATTTCACTGCTCGTCTACTCCTGAAATTCCTTTCTGCGAGGCGAGACAAGAACCCATTAACTCTGGGTCCCGGATAGCAGGTGCGGATCGGAAGAAAGTGACCATCTTTCCCCTCCTCACTTCACATAAGTCACCCGTGGGGCCCACCAACACCAGTTCATGAAGATGAGGGGAGATAGACGGGCATGAACAGCCAATTCGGGTATTCTGTAGTAAACGCAGACTTCTGGGCTCCTCGAAGTAACACAAACACCTAAGAAGCATTTGTTCAGCCCCCCCATGCAGAGGCTGGCAAGCTACCCGAGATGTATTCGATATGCCAGACACAGTAACAACAAAGTCTCCAATGGAGACGTTACTGGGCCCGCTCGAGCAAATCGATGAACAACGGGAGGACAGTGACAGTGACAGCCCCCCATGTCAGGGGAGGGAGCCCCCCAACCTATCCTCCTTTTCCTAACTTTTTTTTTTTGCCACACTCATCAGTGCCTTGGGGCTAGTTCTGGCTCTGTGCCCAGGGTTCCACCTGGCAGTGCTGGAGTTGGGGTGTTCAGGATTGAACCGGGGCTGACCGCCGGCAAGGGAAGCAGCTGAGTCCCTGTACCATATCTCCAGTCCTATTTTAAAAATAGGATCTGAATGAAAGAAAAAAACAAAGTTTTTGGTGCTCAGGCCATTCCCGGATCCTTGGGCTGGAGGTTCATGGGGCTGCTCAGGCTTTGCAAATCTGGGGATACTCAGGTCACCCTGGCAGTGCCAGGACCCTCCAGGGCTGCAGCCAGAGATGTTCGGGGGTCCATGTGATATCAGGAGTGGGACTCAAGCCCTGCACACCCTGGGCGTGCGCGATAGCGCCTCCTTGGGGTCTTTGCAGAGATGTGCAGAGCAGTTTCCACAGTGAAGTGGTTCCGGAGAGTTGGGGTTCAAGTGGCCCGTGGTGCTTTGGGGTGCGTTGTTGGGGCAGCAGATCTCCCGGTGATTGGCCCCGAGCTGCTGGGAAACTCCTCCCTCTCTGTTCACCGTGGGTGCCCCAAGGGGCCTCTCAAACAGCGCTGGGGTGGGCATCTAGGAGCTATTTCTGGAGCCACTGGGCCAACCCCGACCGCAAGGCTGGGACCAGGGGATGAGCAACTCTTGAGAATCAGGGCCATACAATGGGGTGCTGGGGACCTCCAGGGCTCTTTTCCAACAGTGCTCAGGAGGCCCTGTGGGCTGAGCTTCAAACCCAGGTCCTGGTGTGTCCACAGCAGGTGCCCTGACCTTTGAAATGGGCACCTCTGGTAGGCATTGCTGGAATAGGCTTCAGGCTGTACTGTAATAAGTGGTTGTTGTTTGTCTCTATTCTGGTTGTTGTTTGTTTTGTTTTTGCTTTTTGGGTCACACGCAGTGATGCTCAGGGGTTACTCCTGGCTCTGCATTCAGGAATTACTCCTGGGGGTG